ACGGCTGGATCCGCCCGACGGTCCCCGTGGAACATCCCCAGGCGTCGAGACGGCAGGCGCCGTGCGTCCCGTGGCGCGCGCGAGGTCGCCGTCGGGGGTTTCCCGTGGGGTTTCCCCGCGCGGCTTGGCGTGTTGTGGGTTCGAAGAAAGGCAGTGGGGTCGGGGTGTGGTATTTTTTCGATGTTTTGTGGTAGGTGGGTTGGATCCTGACTCCGCGTGAGCTCCATTTCGCTGGGGGAATGCGACCAGATGGACCCGACCACTCTTCTTGGTTCTGGCGGCCTGGCTCTAGATGTTTTTGCTTTTTCACCCTGAAGCCACAGAACAGGAACCCAAACAATCAGAAACAAATTAGAAACACATGATTGTTCCAATACAGCAACACAGATCCTTTACATCGCAAGTGTTTCCTTGGGGAGATTAATCATTATATCCATTTGTTTTAACATGTTGTAACTTCAACAGTCACTTCGGCAATTGCTTGGTCACCACCCTCGCATGGTGGCTCCAAAACTTGCTTGGCGATCAAAAGAACCAGGTTTTTCTCGTTGCCCAGGTTCTAACCGGTTACTACAAACCTTTCTGAAAGCAATTCCTGGGCTTTCGAAAACAATTCTCCCCCAGCTGCTTGAGGTGTTGTGAATGAACACCCGAGGAAGTGGTGCAAGCTGACAAGTCCTGCAAATTAGAAGCATGTAGGGCCTGAGAGTAGACTCCTGGCACACACAGATTCGAATCCTGATGTCATCCCATGAATTTTACTGAAAGCCAATTCCAAGGCCGAAAGACAAACAGCTGAAATTTGTCAGAAAAACATTTTCGAACTAACCAGCCAGTTTGTTGGTCTGGATTGGTGGCTAAATTGGGTAGCCAGCAGCGCCAAAACAGCGCCCTTTCATGCCTTTTCCCCGTTGCTCGCACGTTGCATGCACGAACAACATACAATTGTATGGTGCGTGGGTGAACAATTAGGGCGGCTCAGGCACCACCCGCACGCTTTTTCGCTCCACCTACAAACCCTATACGTTCCTGTCCCACCTCCCGAAAAAGAAGACAGGGATAGACCTTCGGTTTTTTCTGGTGACCCAGGAGCCATCTCTTTTTCGCTGTCAGGGCTTGATCTATGTGAGCATGTCAGATCTCCAGGGTGGCCTTGAGGTGGGGCTCGCCGCTTTCCGGACTCCCTCCCTGCTTCCGCTCCGTCAAATGCTAAAAGGGGGCGTGGGAGGGAAGGCGTGTGTTTTTAAAAGCAAACAGGACGCTGCTAGGAGCAAAGGGCATCGCTACTAGGAACAAAGGGCATCGTTCGCCAAAAGCAAACATCTCCACCCAGACTGGTCAGCTGAGGCCCGGTGCTCGGCCCCGGTGCTCGCCATTGAACCCACGTTCCCCGGTGCTCACCGGTGTTTTCCAGAAATCGGAGACGGTGAAGCGGGCGGGTAGCAGCTCCATCCATGGACAGGGGTGCCGGTTCCGAACGTAAGGAGCGAGGTTCCGGTGCCCCTGTCACATCGCATGCACGACCACTGGGTCTGTAGAAGCACCCAGACATGATGGAACTGGTATATTAGACGTCTTCTTGGGCACTTCTGAGTAAGCTTAGCCCTATAGAAGTCAAAAGACTGTATTTTGCCCCAGTGATGTAAAGGATGTTCCCTTTCGGGTACCCTAATCAGACTATTCTTTTCATAGTCTTTGACTCTCAGGTTAGGGAAGTGTTCAGCGCCTCATTCGAATCGATCCCTTCGATGAATTATCCGCTGAAGCCTTCTGAACACATCGCTAGGCATTGACGGTGGGAAGCCTTTGCTGCTTGGTACAGATGTCGCCACGACGTTTTCCTCAACAACCAGGGAAGGTGCCATGTTGATGTTTGTTCGGATGAAGATCCCTGACAGATCTGTATAGTACTCAAAGTTTTGGAATTTGCACTCTGGTGCTGTTGCAATCTGCTCCGGAGGGAAGCTTTTCCGACAGCGTGTGAGTTGGAGATTTTCATCGGGAGCAGCACTGGGAGCGGCGAATTGCTGGAGACCCTAGGGCTCCAACCTGCGGAATCAGTGATTTCCTTCCAACAGAATATCTCAGAAGGCCGGAAGGTTAGATCCTCCTGGCACTCGCCCCAACCACCGAACCTAGGTCTGGAGCTGAATATACACCTGGACTCACCAACATGGAAGTTGAAATCCTCCAGTTTGTTTGGAACAGCAGTGGCTGTGGGTCAAAACCAGGTAGCGAATGACCTTTCAGGTAGGTCCTGCCCAAGGTAAGGCAAGGTATCCCGGTTTTGAACCCACAGCCATATTGGTGGCCGCCTAAATCCGCGTAAAGCAGCCCATTGGAAGTGACGTTTTTGACCTCGTCGTGAGATATTTTTCTGCAAGAGAAGTCGAAGGAGTCCAGTGCAACACAAACAAGAAAACACGCACCACATACCAGGACACCCTAAGGGGTGTCTATTGATAGCCCCTTAGAGGCTAAGGGGTGTCCATTAACCACCCCTTGCCAATTCATCTAATTTATACAGTGTGAAGGACCCTTCTTTTCACCAAACACGAACAACCAGAAAGTAAATGCTTGTTGTACTAGTACTGAGGCAGGAACTCTTGATCCTTTTTCATCCAAACGTGTTTTCTTTTTATCTTTTGCCGGATCCAACACCACGGCTCGCATCGATACGCCCGGAAACCAACACGGCGCCAGGACCTCTGCCGTCCCGACCTCCCTTGGGCCGTCCGTTGGGGCGTCCGTTTGGGCCGTCCGGTTGAGCCGCCCGAGGTCAGTTCCACGTCTTCTGCGACGCCAGTGGCCTGGGAGCCGAAGAGGTCATCGGCTCCTAAGACGCCCGCGAGGCACGGCGCGTACGGCACGGCGGTAACGGCGGTAACGGCGGAGAGAGGTGTCCAGGACGTGGACCATGGGCCTACTGCACGGGGGGGGGGGATGGTTTGTGAAATGCTTGGAGGGTCAATGTAGGTCAAGATTCCAGTGGTCATCAATTATTGGGTGTTGTTAATTGGTTGATTTAGAGAGGGGAGACCCCCTATACCGTGTAGCACAGGAAAAAAATGGCATGGCACTCGTAAGTGGTGAGTCCCTGGCACTCACCTCTCTATTCTTTGGACTCGGATCATTGCGTGGACCTGGAGTTGTGTTGAAGCTGGCGATGGCGAAATACGCAAAAAGGGTACCTGGTTCTTCCAAGTGACCGAACTTGATCACCTGGTTGGTTCGGTCACTCGTTCGCCTCGTTCAGGGTCACGACAGGCGGAACCTTCCAAACGGTCACGAACGAAAGAAGAAGCTGGTAGATGGATGAGGGCTTCATGCATCGAAGTCTGCCACCTTGGAACCCTTGGAACCATGGGACCATTTTTGGTGCATGAATAAAACATGTTTTTCTTGAGAGGTCCTTTTCTTGAAGGACTGGACTTCTCATTCTTAGGGTGCAGCATGTATCACGTCTGGGTGGAAGTGGTGGACGTCGTCTCGCCTTTTCCAAATCCATCATGCTGGAAGTGGAGTTTGAAGACGTCCCAGCACCACCACGATCTGAAAGACTCGTTGGATGGAATGAAAGCGGGTCCTCCAAGTCGAACGCGGGGGCCAAGTAATCCCATCCAACCCGGACATCCAAAGACAGTTCTGGCACCACCCAGCCAAGTAATCAAGAGACATTCATTTTCGGATCACCTAAAGGCCATTAAAATAGTATTGGACTCCCAAACAGGAGTGTATGTCTGCCACTGTCAATGACAGGGCGTCCTGCCCCTCGGTTCGTCCTCTTGTGAGGTGACCGCGCACCGGAGCTGCATGCGATGGTGGGCTGTGGAAAAAAGCGCTTCTTTGGATGGACAGCTTCGAAGGGAGCTCTATTTTTTGGTGCAGACCTCAGAGGTACAGGATTTGGGGCAGAAAGGGTTACACTACGGACGGACCTGTCAAGATCTCATTTTCTTTTCCCATTCATTGCTAGAAAGAGAGTTTTCCTGTGGTATCATATGCCACCTGTGCAGTGTAGCTTCTTTGAGGTACCAAGTGGCTGGGTCTCATGTGGGCCCTGGACGGTGGAACAGCACCACAGCTTTTAGGTGATTCTGCTTGGCGAAAGGGATGGTTGAAGGGTGAAGCATGTAGAAAGCTCTTGTGGCGACCCCCCCAAGGAGCTCGGGGAAGCCCAAAACTCTCCCACTGCACTACCATCCTGGCAAAAACAGAGGAGCCTCTATTGCTCAGTGTTCTCATGCCTGGTAGAAGTGAAGCTTGTTGACTTTCGTCAACGGGAGGAGTTCGTCAACTTTTGCAACAACGACGCCCGTCCATTGTGCTGAGAAAGGGGGCCCATAGGGTGCTGATGGCAATTTCGGGGCATGGATCACCTGTATTCCTTTGATGACATCTCCGCTTTGGACGTTGCCACATCGATGGTGAAGCATGGAAAAGACCGCACCTGACAACTGTAAGATCCGATTTTTATTGGCTCACATTGCAGATTTGCAGATTTGATGTGTCTAGTAGACTACTGGTCCTGGTTGCAATTGACCTAGGTCCTGGTTCACCTGGTTGTTCCTTTAGTGCAGTGGTGAAGGATTCTTGAGAATATTTTCCCCCACGCCCACGCCCGGGCTCCGAGCTCCTTTTCCTCCATTCGTCTGCGCAGCCTTTGGGCTCCGAGCCGCGCATCCAAGAAGGTCGGTACGAGATGAGCTTGGCTTCGCCATTGGAGGAATCCATATCGGCCAACTTTATCACAAGAGCGTACAAAAGGCCAGATGCCTGGTCTAAGCATCAATTCCATATGATCCTGCCGCAGCAAGACTCACCTCTAGAAGGGATTTCCACCCTCGTGCCCAGTCCCTGGATGTGGGCCCTCTACACCAACGATTCGAAGATCTTCACCAAGTTCACCCAGTTCAAGCAATGATCTAATCTCATGTTTTCGTTGGATCACCCACACTTTTGGGATCACACTTCCCAAAAAGGTAGTCCTTTTTTGGACCGTTGACCGTTTGGAGAGCAAAACACAAGACATCGGACCCGATCCCAAACCGCCGCCTGGATCCCATGGAGGTGAGGTGTCCACGGTCGACCGGTGCGACGGGTTTGGAGACGGGTTTACGAGGAACCGAAGGGGGGAGAGCGCTGGGGAGAGCGCCTTTTTTCTCCTCTCCACGTGATGTCGATGTTCGGGTGTGGGGGACGGTGGGATGAACACACCCACTTAAAAAAAAAATAACATCCAGGAGTCACAAAGGGGTGGTGTTTAGTCTCCAAGTGAGTGGATAATGGGCACTCCTAACCTCCATTAAGCACCCCTTTGTGACTGCTGGATGAAACACTGAGACCCGACTTCGTTATATAGTACCCGAAGACAAGGGTTTCGTTCGACCCAGCCTCGTTCACAAGGGTTTCGTGCGAGCGCTGAACGTTGGACCGGTGCAGGAAGAAATCTACTGCCTAGAGAATCCTTGGACCTTCCATAGCAGGGTTTTGGATCTGAACATCCCTTTCATTGGGATCTGGACCCTGAAAGCCATTTCCATTCATACCCTGTCAGTGGATATCCTTGAAGCTTTTTTTGGGAGTGGTTTCCCCACAACAGGTAGAAAAAGGTGAACCTTAATTTTCCACTAAAAATGAAGGAGTGAGTCAGCATTGAAACAGTTTGAGGTCCGGATGTGGTTGGGTTCCAGAGGTCTTTTTCCTCGAAAACCAATCCCCACCGGGTTTGGTGCCGCATGGTCGAAGCTATAGAATGTGTCCCGTTATTAGCAACAGTTGGTCAAAGAGGATCACCACCTTTTTCTAAGAAACATCCGTTACTTTTGCTGACAAAAGACCCTCCCAAGGTTTTTCCGGATCGTCAGTATTAGAAGATGTCGTCCAAGAATTCCGTGTCCGGAGCCCGCCATTGGACGGTCCCAGAAATCTGGATCCAATCCTCAGAAGTCGACGACGTGCAGACGACGTGCCGACGGGCCGTCTGCTCTTCATCGTCGTGCCTATCCAGGGCTCGTGACCCCATTTTTTTGGCGAAGCTGGGGAGGCTGCAAAATGTCGTAGAAACAAAACACTGGAGTCAAGACATTGGTCACATTGGCATTCTTCTATGTGATAAACACATTGTTTGAGGCCCCATATTGGTGTAGCTCACATCTAGCATGACCAGCATGTCCCGTTTGAGCATTTTATAGTGTCCCTCTGAACTCTCCATTCATTTTCGCACTATTTTATTACGCCTTAGGCCACTTTGGATTTGAGCGACACGTGTTGATAGGGTGTATCTCGCTTCATTTCGACGACTCTTTCGTGCTGCCACCGTGGCATTTTCAGCTTCGACGTGAAACAGAAAGCTGCGCCTCCGTAACACACGGAGGGTCACGCAGAGCATGGCTACTGCACAGACGATCAGTAATGAGGTGGTCAAGATCCTGACTTGAAAATTAGATCGATCGAGGTCAGCTAAGACCTGGACCCTCTGGGGGACCCTCTGGGTAACCCTGGGCTCGGTGGACGTCTCTTGAAAACTGTGCATGATGCAGCCTGAAGGCATTTCTGTTCCGTGTTCTCACTGTTTTCTCATGCTCAGACTGGAGCGACTCGTAGGCAATGAGGGAATGAGCCTCCCGTAGAGATTCCTTTGGATCCAGCCACCCTCATTCCTTACAAGCCACATCAGTGTGCTTCGCCAACTGTTTTCCTGCCGCGCAACCATCGCGGTCACCGTATCACGCACCACCTGCGGGATGGGCGATGGACGGATTCGGATGGATGTAGAGGAAGCAGCTACTCCTTGGACTCGGTGGAATCAAAAACAAAAACATCAAACACATTCTAATACCAGGACCTTCCTTCTGAGGTGTCTATACATAGCCCATAGCCTCTTGGAGGTTAAGACAAGAGGCGTCCAAGAACCACCGGACTTGGAAGGTGGGTAGTGATGGCCTCCGCCACGCCCTTCGCATTGTAACCGGACAATGCTTGAACCCCTTAGGACTGGCGCTTGGACCCCTTAGGACTCATGTCATCCCATGGACCTGTTTCGTCTTACCCCCAAGACACGACCCGTGGACCTGCAGGGACCGTCGGGTCCGGTTCCGGTGGCCACAGTGAATACACTCCCTGGAAATGGATTGGATGGAGCATGGCCCCGACAGGAAGACCATGAAATCCACGACAAACAGGTGGTGCCATCCACTTCCATGTTAGAGTTTTTGGGAGTGTACATGTATTTTGGGAATAACTTTGAATAGTTAGTTGCTGCAACTGTGTCCTTTTTGTGTGGGATCACATCCGTCTGGGCACTCTTCATCTGGCGTGGGCATTCTTCCTTTTTCGTCATTCCCCAAATATGGGGAGGTGGGTGACGAGGTGTCACCAGTGGCACAGACGGTTTCAGAGTCATGCAGACTCTCTTGATTTATAACACCTGTAGACTCTTTGATGATATGCCACCCCCAAGTCTCAAGAGGTTTTACAATCCAACTAGGGTGTTTTTATACATGGCTACAATTAGGTGGTGCCATTCTGTTTGACCCTTCTTGGATGCCGAACTGTTTGCCCCAACATCGCTCGCCGTCGCGGTCGCACTTCCGTGGCGGTCATTCGTGGGTGTGGTCATTCTTGCTCAACCTAGTGACAGATGGGACATGCTGAGTCTTCCAGATTCCAGATTTTTTTAAAACACATATCACAGTTTTCGCAAGACTCAGCATGGGAAGCTTTTCAAATCTCCAAAGCTTTTTCCGGAGATGTGGGAGCTTTCGAAAGGCAACCTCCACCGTTGGGCTCCTGCGGAGCCTGCAAACCATGTCTCTTTTTTCACGCCGTGTCCGGCGCAGCCGGACACCATGTGGATGTGCCAATCCTCCAGAGTCGTGGTTGGTCCTTCCGTGAGAGTCTTAGAGCTTGGGGCATGTTTGTGGTACCAAAGGAGAGAGTGAGGGTCAAAACGAAGGTAGATTGCATCAGCACCAAGCCGACCGTATGCGGAAAGAAAGCTTGATCCAGAGGCTGCTTGAGCGATGTGAAACCCAAGGGAACCGGATGTGCTTCGGTCAGACAACCGACCACCGACGACCCGTCTCTGCTTCGCCGGGTCGGTTGACTCGGTCTCTGACCTCTTGGCATCCCGTTCGTCGTAGCATTCCCAGGATGGAGTTCTCCTCCACAGATGAAGAGTCTGGCGAAGGACCCGGGACACCGTGGGCGTTCACGGATCGGAGAATGGGGGGCGTTCTGCGTTCCGGGGGGCGGGATCGACGATCGACCCAGAGGAAGTGCTGGGGTGCGGTGCGACGGCTCGGCTCCAACGTGATCTTCACGGACTGTGTGGTGGGAGGTGAATGGACCGAACAAACGAGTCTTTAGGTATCTTGAGGTGACCCGACTGGAGGAATTTCCGAGGAATTACTTCAGGTGATGCAAAGTACAGCCTTTGGACATCCTAGCTATACATTTTTTTTGGCGTGGGGAGGGATGTATAATAACCTAGACCCCGCAAAAGATGTATTTTTTTCTGGTGAGGGCAATTTTCAGGCGAAGCTCAAAAACTCACACAACAAACAGTTTTGGTGTCGATTTTTGTTACTTCTGCGTTGTTTTTTGTCACTTCTGCGTCATTTTGGCGTCATGTTTTCTATCGCGAATTTGCTGCATGTTTCTGCGTCATGTTTTCTGGCGAGACGGAAAAAAAGACATCGTTTCAGGGTCCAGGAATATAATATGGAAGGTCAATAATGTTGATGAGAAACACGGCTGCAGTGCAAATGTTTACACTTGTTGCGATGCGAGGTGCAATTTGTTTGGTCGATGGCCTTTCCAGCTGCCCCATTGTTTGAGAACCCAGCTGGTGTCGGGCACATGAACACGAGCTAGTGGACAATGCTCTTCTGCAGCACCTTCCGTGTACCATATGCTTGGTTTCTGGCGTCTAACATCGGTTCCTCGGGTGAATCCCCAGCCACCTGGGGAATGGTTTCGATTTGCGCCAGTTTCGATTTGAGCAGCACATCCAAGTGTGAGATGCGAACGGAAGAAGCCCAGCTCTTGGAGTTTCTTCGCAGGCGTTTTCGGACCGACCACGAGTGATGTCTGTGTTCCACGGTGCGTGCTCAGCCGCGAGTGATGTCGGCAGCCCGTTGGACTGCTGACGAAGTGCTGCATCGTTCACCTGAACCGTCGAGGGAAGGCTACAAGATGGCGGACGAACACAGCACCTGCAGAGAAATTAGATGGTAGAGATGGCACAAAGCTTTACATGAAGCAACACTTCTTGATGTAAATGTGCAGAGGATGTGAGGACCAATGCAGATGTGTGTCTTCTTTTGGCCTATCGCCTATTGCCACGACCACATGCGCAGTCTTGGTTCAGTTCTAACAAATCAACTCACCCTCCGAAGCCTCCAAAGTTTGGGTGCGAAGCGCTCGTCTGCGCTTGTGGCATCTGCAGTGTCGGTAGGGCAGTCTCGGTAGCACTCACCTTATTGTAATGGCCTCCAACCTACTAGCGATGGCATCCAACCTGCAAACGAGTCACAATCGAAAAGAACAGTGGCGACAATTGGAGAGTGTTTTTTTGACTTTTGAAGACTTTAGACGAAACATCACCAGATTCCCTTCTCCTCTCACCAGATTCCCTTTGATCCATCTTTTTTCCGGCTTTTTATCCACCCGGCTCAAACCGAAAACGCTCACTGGCACGGTTCCGCGACGCGCTCGCGCGAGCTTCGCGCGACGAGCTTCGCGCGCGAACCGGCGCGGTGGGACTGTTTCACATGGAGAGGATCGATCGCGGAGGTCGCTGACAAGGCAAGAGCTGCCTTCTGGGATCGCATGAGACTTGGAGAGGAGGGACTAGACTGAGAACTGTTTGAGGGAGGAGTGGGATGGAGTGGGATGGTGAGTGGAGTCAGAAAGCAATCTGTTTGGGTTTCTGTGAATGCTCTGAAATCATGCAGAGAATGGTTTTTGCGAGACCCAGAAACGCAATGACCAACATGTCACAGGCAGCTGTGTCACAGGCAGCTGTTTTGTGAGGGTTGAGGTGTGAGGGCTGAGTGAAAGAGTTA